CAGACAAGGGGGAGCCACTCCAGCAGCAGCTGCTGCTGCTGCTGCTGCTGCAGCTGCTGCGATCTTTGTATGGAAAATTAAATTAGCAAAAATAAAGCAAAAGAAAATAAAAAATACACAGTGGCGGCGGGATTTATCTGCTGCCCCTGTTGCAGCTGGGGGCTGCATGCTGCAGTTCCCACGAGGCTGCCACGCTGCTGCTGCTGCTGCTGCTGCTGCAGCCAGCAAGGGGTGTAATAGCAGTAAGAGTTATCAGTTCTACCTTCTTTTTACAGGTTTAACAAAACAGAAAAGCAGAAAATCCTCCATTTGCTGTTGCTGCTGCTGCTGCTAGCTTTGTTTCTACAGCGGCCCCCGCTGGATGCGAACACATAGCTGCTGCAGCATTCGCAGCAGGACCCGCTTTTGTTGCGCGCTGTGTCTACGAAGCCGCAGCAGCAGCGAAAGCGCCACCAACGCGAGCAGCCGCGCCTCAGCAGCAGCAGCAGCAGCAGCAGCAGCACAATGCCGGTGACTCCAGAAGAAGCAGCGCAGCTGCTGAACAGCCTGAAGGATGAAAGCGCCTCTCTCGAGCAGCTTCAGGGGCTGCTGGAGTCTTTGCGGGTAAACCTTCCCTCTAAAAGCAGCAGCAGCAGCGCAGGAGCAGCAGCAGCACCAGCAGCAGCAGCAGCGCCAGCAGCAGCAGCAGCTCCAGCAGCAGCAGCAGCAACGGAAGGTGCAGCCCAGACGGAAAAAGATGCTGCAAAGGACGCCGGCGCAGCGGAAGCCTCAAGCGACGACAGCAGCAGCAGCACCAGCGCGCAGCGGAAGGCTGCTCCAGCAGCCGAAAGCAGCAGCAGCAGCAGCAGCGTGAACCACAGCGATAATGCAGCAGCAGGCCGCGCTCATTTGGACAGACTGGATGGAGACTCGCGGCTGCTGATTCAGCGGGCAGAGCCCGACGCCTCCCCCCTCATCTCAGCAAAATCATGGTGAGGGTTTAGGGTTTAGGGTTTAGGGTTTAGGGTTTGGCTTCTTGGGCGTG